CCCCCCCCCTCTTGCGTACAGTTCAGGGGGGTAGCGGTCCTCCCTGCTTTCATTCCAGGCCCGAGCCACGTGTTGGTGTTCAAGGGCCACCCATACCTGTTCAACGCCACAAGAGAGAGGAAAGAAAGAAGGAAAGAGCAGGCGCATCGGTGACCGTCCAACATGAAGGTTCTTACGGTACCCCCGCGCTTGAGTGTTTACTTGTCCGCAATTCAATGCGTATGCCCGTCTTCATCGGGTGAGGGTCAGGATACATAGATTACCCCCTCCCTTGTCCTTGCCACCCTGAAACCTTCACCTTCATCCCCTCATCCCTTCTCATCTGCTCTAAACTTCCACGCACCACGCAATGTTGCGTCGTCTCGGCACGTGCCATGCAGTACAGTTGGTAGCGGAACCCCTTGATGTAATTCAGGCTGTCCAAGACGACGACCGTGTCACGGTTGAGGGCATGATCCACCTTGCTCTTAAGCTCCCCGCGGGTGATTTTTTCGGCCGCAGCATCTGTGGATAGAGAAGCAATTAATAAATTGGTAAATTAGAAATATCGATGCTGTACTGGCATCGCAAACGAGGATAGAGAGGAGGCATACACATCTTTCAGCCACCCCAGGTAAAATTCCCGTCCTAACCACGACTGCACCGACCTCGATACCCCTCCGCTTTCAAAACTGGCAGTGCTTCCTCATTGACGAGGACCACTGCAGAGCCCCTGTCTTCTTCGTCCTTGCCCTTTCCAGGCCTGCACGGATTTGGCAGCTTCTTTTTTAAGTACTCAACCAAGCCGTGGGCAAAGGTCGTCTTTCCCGACGCTGGTTGCCCACAGATGGTGATCAGGGGCATCACTATTACAATGAAGGATTTGTTAGAGAAGGATTATGGTAAGAAATTTAGAAGAACGACAGATAGAAGGTTGTTCAATACAAAAGGACGAGGTGAACGTGGCTCCAGAGCGCGCCATGGAATCCAGCAATACCCCTCAATAATCGACCAATCGCCCGAAGCACACTTTCCAATGCATCTAACAACGAATTAAAAAGTACAGAGAATTCTTCTTAAAGCAATTCATACCTGATAGAGGGGAGACAAGACGTCGTTAAGAAGAGGACGCACTGGCCTGCCAGGTAGGGGAATAAAAGAGGGATGATATTTTTAGTCCTCAACATACACCAACGCTTAGGCCATGGATGAAAACGCTTAAAGTAAAATGCAAAGAAGGTGATAGACTGCCTGATTGGAGAGAATCCGCAGCTTCGCGTGTTAAAAGACGGGGGAAAGCCATACCTGCATAAGCACGTTGCTGATGGCTGTCGCCTTGCTTGCTGGAAGGGAGGAGGTTAAACGTGGGGAGGAAATAAGAGCCATACACGACATATGGCGTCAATTGGTAGAAATCGTGACAATAAAAGCATATTACCACGCAAAAATTACAGTATTGGAGCGTATGGCAGCTGCATCGGTGTCGGTCACGTGTGATGTCCATATTTGCATCTCAGCCATTTCATGCCTCTGCTAGCGCCAAAAAAGGACATGGACGGCGACGCACTTGCAGCAATGCGTCTCACACGGTCCTGAGTGGCAGCGTGTTTTTAGTTTTACTACTTGTGTTCTTGATCGCAGCTGCGGCAGGGGATGGTGGGCAAGGCCTGTCTTGGGTCTGTCGAAAAAATCCTCCGTTGGAAGGAGGCCGGGAGCGAATAAAAAATATCGTCACAGGTCCTCGCACGTGCATAAGTATGTATCAATGTAACGGGCGCTCGGCATTCCTATCATCGCTCTCCTACTCTTTCGTCGGCTCCCTCTGTGGAAAGAGGAACATGCCACCGCGGACAGCATCTCACCGGGCGAGTTTCCCTCATTGCGGGAGGTCTATTTCGAGGTCCATTCCCATGCGGCTCAATCGTCTCCTATTCGAGGCAGAAGAAATTAATCTGACCTCGAGAAATCCGCAGGACGGACGAGGAGAAAGGGAGGAATCAGTCATTGTCAGGTTAGGGCAAGACGATGCCCGGGCGCAGCATGTTCGGAAGGTAGGGTGGGGGGGAAGAATCCTCCCTCTCGGCTTTGATATTCTCACACGAACTGGGAAGCACTTACCTACAGTGCTTATAAATTGACTCACCTCCGGGTTGGGCGGGTCTTACACAGGTCCTGCGTGCCAAGACAGGAGACGAAGTGCGCGTGGGCGTTTTGAACGGAGGGCGGTGAGTTCCCAAAGGGTGAAAGAATGGATGCCATCGGACGAGGAGAGGACAAGTCTTCGAGCGCATGTCTTTTATTAATCTCCCTCCCTGGCACGTACACAGGAACGATCGGGCCGTCGTGGAGTGGACAGAGGGAGGCGAGCTGCACCTGGCTATGGGACCCTCCCTCCCCCTCTTAACCCCTCCCAGCGAAGCACTGCGCCCACGGTAGCTACCTTCTCGACTTGGGAGGGGATAATGGACACGTGCATGGGAAGAGAGGGATAGGATAAGATCTTTGTGCGGGGTTGAGGACTGCTGTGTGAATGTCAAGCCCCACGGCCCCATTTCCTGAGCAGGTGCTTCCTCGTAGCAAGTTCTTTGCTCGCCTCTACATACTCCCAGACCCTCCTTTAGTATACCTCAGGACACACTAGTCAAAAGAGCAGCATAGCACCCATCTTCTCCCGTCATGAACTCATTCCGGGCGCCCTGTTTCCTCCTTTCTTTTTTCAGTGTCGACGTCCTCCTCGCCATGCAAGCCCCCTTGAGGATGGAACGTATCATTCCCCACATGGTCGCCCTGGGGGTTGGTCGGCTGCTGATCACGTCCGCGAAGAAGGTAAGGGGGTAGGGCGGAGGGGCAAGGAAGAGAGACCGTGACGCTGGGAGGATCGCTTTGTCGCATCCATTTCTGTACCGGTAGACACGGGTGAAATTGATGATCGATCGACGGTCATTTTTCCTCGCGCTCGGGAGGGAAGAGAAAGGAAGAAAAGGACAAGGCCTGCTTATACATTGCTTGTATCCCCCTCTCTTTTTTGCCCTTGTCTGCTCCCTTGCCGTGGCCCGGGGTCGTCCAGGTGGAGAAGAGCTACTGGGGCTCCCATTTGTTGCGAGAACCGGTGAGTCTTTTTCCAAGCCGCCAGAAGGTCTGAGTGAGACTCAATACAGGACTGGATACATGGATCAAGCATCGTATATACATTTATGTGTCTATAAACATATATATATAAATATATGTATGTATATTTATTGTTGTGGTTCAGTGAACGAAAGCTTCATTTCTCCCGTGTGTCGCCTCATATTCTTGTTTCACTCCTTTTTGGGACAAGAAAACACACATAGGCATACATATATGTAGTCTCGTTTGTACATGAATGGAATTACATATTCCCATGATGACGTTAATATTGATTGACTCTCGTTAAAACGGTTTCTCATCACAGCAAGCGCTGCGAGAACTCGTGGTAGAAGGCCTCAGCCAGGTATGCAAATGAGATCGATCGAATGCCCCATCCTTCCCTTCTTGTAAAAACCCTCTTTCACTTTCATGGAAGCTGTCCTGGCTCCTTCTTCGGTTCCTCTCCGTTCGCCCCATTTTTTGTGTTTGTTTCTCACGCAAGCACCGTGGAATCTATTTCACAGGCCGGCGACACCATCGTCCCCGATATCATCATCGATCGGCGTCTCAAGGTGAGATGCTGTCGGGAATGTGGGCACCGTCCTCAGTTTTGTGCGCCCGTTTCCGATCCCAACTTCTGCAGCACGTGGAACTTCGTGATTCATGGCTTCTGACCAAACGGACGCTTTCCATCCCCCCCCCCCTTCAACTTCCCCCAAATGCTTCTCTTTTCCATGAAGCGCTTCCTAAGCGATAAGCTGGAAGTCCTGTACCCTTCCTCCCCCTCTCCCTCCGCCTCCTCCTCCTTCCAACACACGCTCCGTGTCCTCTCCCACCCTTTTCGAGCCCTGCATGACTCTGAGGGCGTGGATACGCGTTTTCGTCAGCTCTCTTGGCCGTCTCCAGTCCCAAAGAATGGACTTAAAGGCGAAACAGCAGTGGGACAACCGCGGCTCCTTTTGGCGATAGGACCCGAATCAGGATGGGAGGTGCGACCGAGGGCTTGAGGGAGGAAAAAGAGAGTGGAGCTGCTGAGAAGGCGGTGCACCTGCTCTATTTGCGCGGCATACATAGGGGTTGTGTGGAAAGTATGTAATTTCTAATGTCTTTATGTTGTTTCATTCTCTTGATATTTCCTGTCTCGTAACGTAGGAACCCTATGAGCTGGAGCTCTTCCGAGAGCATGGTTTTCAGGTACGACAACCTTACTTTTGCCGACCATTATGACTGACCTCAGAGCGTGAAGTCTCTCACATTGAAAAGTCTTCCTAGTATCAATTTGAAATGCGAATCGGAAGGTGTCTCTTTGGCAATGGATAGTCACGCATCAATGCATCAAATCGCCTTTACAGCAAATCACGCTTGGACCCAGAGTTTTGCGGACAGAGACTGCCGTCCCTGCTTTACTGGCCTTGGCACACGATCATTTGCATGCCCTGGACGAGCAATGGGAACAGAGTATAGGGCGCATCGCCAGTCCTCAAGACGACAGCGGCGCTGCTCTTGAAGGGAGCCGTAGTGATATTCGCGATAAAAACGATAAGTCACTACAATGAAACCAAAGCTCCCGTCGAAAGAAGTCACTTCAATATATTTTCGTTGAAGTAAGGCGTTAGGTATTTTCCGTATGTTCAACAATGGTATTATACCTGGCCCCTCTAGCAACCACCCTCCTCCCGTCCACGCTCGCTTCTGCAATGATTCGAACTGCCTCAATGAGTCGACATACAAAATGGCATACACCTTGCACTTGATACGTCAAGCAGCTACATGTCATGTGGGTAGAGCCCGCGCCCAAGAGCAGCATCTGCCGTATTTCGTGTAGCGGCCATTTTATCTCTCTATATGCTCCTGTGTCAGCTGCTCGTGTCGAGAGAGCAAGTGACAGAAATACGGGCCTATAACTCTTCTACCAAACTGTCAAAAGTACCCGTAGTTAGCAAACATGTGATGGCTTATCTCTCATACTAGTGAAGTACTTACCAAGGCGGTCGAACGCAATGGCCTTGCTCGGGTGTGCGGTTTCGGTTTTTTTCCAAATCATCCGAGGGGGCTAACGACTGGGGTCGGTTGCTTTTTTTTCCTTTTAGCGACTTGAGGGCCTGGTTCTTCGTGCAACCTGAGGGTCTGCTTTTGACCACAGACAATCACAAATACTATGTGGACGTCGATACGGAGCAATCGTTTGTGTCGTGCTCTGCTCCGGTGGCTTTTTGGTGCCATCTACAGGGTTGTGGTTGGAAAGAAAGGCAAAGCTTCGCCGGAGGGAACGCCGCCCATTCTTTGACAGTCGTTTTTCCATTTGTTTCTCTGTATGCCCGCAACAATGCCACAGACTTCCCATCCAAAGACTAAAACAATATCGTTCAAGAAGATGTTTCCCTCCCAATACGATGGACACGGTAATGGCAGCGGCATGGCGGCCCTCATTGCGGCTGCTTGCTCGTCGCCCTCAAGCATCGAAGCAGGGGGCACTCAAATCATGGACAATCGTGTCGGAATATTAGATGGCGTACCTCCAGCACATTGTGACCCTTCACCGCTTCGACTATTGGTGCAAGCCGCCTGTGGTTCCTCCCCGCGAGAGCAGACGCAGCATCGGGGCGTACATTTTCCCCCCAGGAATTCCACCACGTATGGGCCCACCGCCCATCAATGGCCAAGAGATAACACACGGCACAGTACCCCATCACGAACCGTTTCCCAAGGCTGCCAATCCCCCAAGCAACAATCCGTGGACGCCAAAGCCCTGTCCTTGTCATTTAATCCTCTGATGCAAGACATATATTCTCGTAACCCCCTTGTGGCTCCTCCGCATCTCCCTGCCCCTGCCAGTTCCCCGCCCGTTCGGCCGTGGCATCCCCCTTTACCCTCAGCAATCCAAACCGCATCCCCCTCTCTGCCATATTTCACTGCCTTTCCTCGTCTTTCTCGTCCCAATGGGTGCGGTCTTCCCATTGACGCGCGGGAAGTGTCTCTCCACCCTACTGCCCACGGCCCCGACCTGGCCCGACTGCCGAACAACGCAAATTCAGTCTCCGAGCCCTATTCTAGCTTCTATGCGTTGCCCCCGTCCGGCGGCCTCCCTCCTTTACTGCGTGGAGAAGCCACCACGGGGCGGCTGCCGCCCCCGGCTGCCCGAGGAGAACTCCCACCATCAGCGGACTCTCCGGGACCACATTCTCAGCACGACGGCAACGTACAGGGCCCGAGAATATACCAGCCGCGGTGGCCGCATCAGGATTTGCGCTGGCCATTATCGTATCAACAACGGTCACAGCTTCCACCCCAGGGCATACCCCCCTCCTGGGGGTCCAAAGGGGTGGCGCTGCCAAGGCAGAGGATGACACCAGAATGTCAGCAGCGGCCGCAGGAACGACTACAACAACAGCCATTGCCACGAACACACCAATCAGGTCAACTGCTACCACAACATTTCCAAGAACAACCACAACGACAAGCAGAAAAGCAACAACCATCACCTCCCCAACAACAACCACAACAACAAGCACAACAACAACAACAACCACATAAACAACAACCACAAGAAGAACAACGACAAGAGAAAGAAGGACGACCATCACCACCATCATCACCACGACAACAGCGGCAAAAGAGGCGACGCTCATGCCGTGAGCCCCAGCAGCAGGTAGAAAAGCCGCCACTCTTTTCGGAGCAGAAGAGGAAACGCCAAGAATCGATCCACGCGCGACACCATAACCACAAGAAACGGGACATTGAGTCTCCTGTCCACTCGTCGCTCATGGCCACCTGGAAAAAACCATCCTCGGCCGCCGCCTTCCTCCACCAAGCACACACGGAAGGCCATAACCGACCTCCTTCCCTTGGTCCTTCGCCCTCCCGGCGCCCATCGTCCTCAGTGACCGCAGTCCGCGGTCCCCTTGCCTGCCAAGTCCATCAGCCTCTGGCGTTGGCCCTCAGTAGTTCCTCCCCCACCGCCTCCTCTGCTCCCACCACCTCCTCTCCTCCCTCCCTCGACACCCTCGACACGGGAAAGCTCAATAGTATGGCCCAATTTGCCTTCCCTCTTTATCATCACCAGCCTTCCTTGAATGCCCCGACTCTGACTACCACTTCTCCTTTGACCTCCTCCTCTTTCCCGGGGGCCCCTCCTTGCTTTCCTCCGTCCTCCTCCAACTTGCCTCACCTTCCTCTACCTCGTTCCTCCCACATCCCTCCCCCTACGACCTCAAACACTAAGGCCGCGCCGGGGCGGAAATTCGATAAGAGCCCAAAAGCGTGAGTGAGATGGTACGCGAAGGAATTTTGGCAAGCCTAATCATTTCAGGGATCGAGGAGAAAGGAGGGTAATGGGGGTAGGGAAATGGTGTTAGGGTAGCCCCAGAAGGGAGAGTGCATTTTCTCTCATTCACGTTCTGACTCCTGAATGCCCATCTATGAAGACAAACTCTTTCTGTGTTTAATGGGGGGAAAGCGTTTAGAACAGTATATTAGTCACTGTCGTAGGCAGGACATGGAAGAGACTATGTATTGTAAGTGCTATAATTGTCATCAAGCATCTAAGAAGGATATAGAATCAGATTGTGTATAAGTAAGGAGCAGCCATCCAAATGAGTCGTGTGAAGGGCCTTGTGAACTTCCACCCACCTTCGCGCTGGCATAGCATTCTGACTGTAAGTACCAAAGTCACTAAAGTATTGACACATCGTTTGCGAATGAAGAGGAACGACGGAGAAATTACACCAAAATTTAAATGTTAAGAGCACGGGAGGACAGAAGGCAAAAGAAAAATGTAAATACATTTCCTCCGTCTTTATGAATCTCGCTGACGACGTCCTCTCCTTCTCATCGTGCTTCTCTTCTTCTTCATCTTGAGATTTACTTCCTATCATCTGTCCAGTCGGCGATCTTAAAGGTGTTCCTACACATGACCCATGCTCTCAATGTATCACCCAGACCTTCCCCATATGCACTGGGCGGATGCCTCTGACAAGAACACAACCTCCCACTATCTAAAACATTCTATTTGCGCTGTACCAACAGTCTCTCCACATATCAAGGAGCCCTGTGTGAAACCTCCCACAATGTTGCCTTCCATGCACTCGACGTCCTTCGTCTCGCTTTCGTCGAGCTTCCACTCGTCATTTTTCCCACTTTTCTGCGGGCTTTTTCCCCCATCAAGCATCACCGACCGCGCCACTATACAAGCCGTCCACTCCATTCCCAAATCCACATTCCCCTCCAAATTTACACGGTTCAAACCGTAAAAAAACACACAAGGAAAGCATAAAAACAATATATATTTAATGTACACACACTTCACCGGCATAATCTATTGACACCCATATACGCTTCCTACCATACTGTCTCTTTACTTCATGGCTACTTCTCCCTATCAATAGCCCTATTAGCCATCCGTTGAGGCATTTCAATCGATCAGAACGCTCCAAGGATGGTCGACTTTGCCGTACTACCATAGGAAAGAGCAAAAGAAAGGAGAAGAAGAGGAAGGTTGAGTGACCCTGTCCAACGAATCATCACGAAGAAGAGATAGGGAAACAACATGGGAGGCGAAGGACGAGACGATAGAGGGGAAAAGAAGGCAAAATTTACATGACTCTACAAGCATTTCTATGGGAAGAAAAGCTGTAAGAAGGGAGAGAGGAGTGCGGCACCTGAATGTCGGTGAGCGCATCCCACATCCGCTTTGTCAACGGTCCCACGTCGTCGCCTTCTTTGATGACGACCACGTCCTCCTCTTCGTACAAAATGGCGCGAATGGGACAGACTACCACGGCTGTCCCTGCTCCGAAGGCCTCCAAGAGCTAGAGTTCGACGGAGGAAGGAAAAAAGGGGGAGGGAGTGAGGGAGGAAGGATTTAAAGACGGGGTTTGTGCGACTGCCCTCTGGCAAGTCGCGGGCCAGAGGACAAGGAGCGCAGCAGGACCGGACGAAGATCCCAACAAGACACGCAAACACAGCCCAAACCCTCTCGCGGAATCCCGCAGACGAAGGGAGGAACGTGCGCCAAGCATGTGGTAGCTCGTACTACACCTCTGATACCAGGAACGTTAATCCCTCCAT